CTGGAACTGCTACAAGGATTATTGGTACATGTATTGAATTCAGAAAATGTGATACTTGTTGAATTAGGAATTGGGAAGATTACAGTGAACTGGAGATCCATTTCTTCTAAGAGCTGACAGTGCAGTGAAGGAGACACTAATTTAACAAGTTTGTTTCTATATACTTGCTCTAAATGCTCCCTTATACCAAGGATCTTGGGAACACAGAAGATATATCCTTCAGTCTGGGAGATTCCAGAAAGACTTTCTAAGGAGGTCAGATCTGAGCTGAGTTTTAAAGGATGAGTAGAATTTAGGGGAAGAAAGAATAAGGACTTTAATATGTGAAGGGATTTTCAGTACTTTTCAAACTAGTTGAGCTGTCAACACAAATTTCATTAAAGTGTTTGCTTTGATTTTTTCTAAGTGATGTTAGACCACAACAACTTCTTGCTTCAAAGTTTTCTCTCCTTAGTGAATTTTCTTTGTTCTCAGAGAAATGCCATTGCAGTAAGACTGTTATAACTTATTGTAATCACAGACCACTATACGAAATATCTATTCATAGTAATAAAGATATTAATTTTTTAGTCCAGTGTCCACTTAACATTATCATCAAAAAAACATAAGGTTTTCATAGAGAAATATTTTCCAGACTGTGTTTCCTCAAATCCTTATCTGCTGAATATTGGTGGATGTTTGGTTTTAAAAAGAGAGAGTTTTGAGGAAAATAAGTTGGGTAAGTGATAAGTTAAAACAGATTTATTGATTACAGGACTTGCTAGAGACTTGCTAGATAATGTACTTTGAACTTCTAAGAAGGGGAGAAAATATGCACTTTCTTCAATTTATGGAATCCTTTCTTTTTGTGGGATATCTTTTGAACTCTGGATGGAATAATTTGGAATGACCACTCTGTCGAGACCAGTTTCTCACCCTCAGCACTATTGATATTTTGGAGTGGATTCTTCTTTGTTATGGGGGCCATCCTGTGCATTGTAAGATGTCCAGCTATATCTCTAGCCCCTACCCACTGCATGTCAGTAGCACCCCCCAAGTTGTGACAATGAAAAATGTCTCCAGGCATTTGCCAGATGTTTCATGGGGAGCAAAATCTTCCCCAGGTTGAGAACCACTGGTTTAGACTGCAAGTTCCTTGAAGGCAGAGACTCTGTCTTTTTCCTGAGTCCACAGTGCAGGTTAGACACATAATACATTAATAAGTGTTTGTTGAATAAATAAACTAGACTTTGTGATCAGGAAATATCACATTGTCCAAAATCTTAAAAAATCAGGTTATAAACAAGGAAGGTTTAGCATTATTCGTATTGTTTGACTATTCAGTTAGCAAGTAAACTGATAAATATAGCTGCTGTTTAATCTCCTTCTGTCTGTACAAACTATAATAATGCAGGCTAATTTGGGGGGATTAATGGATCGTCTCCAGTCTGAACATGGTGATAGCCCCTAGAGTTTAGAGAGAGTTTTATTATAAAATGCATGTAATTTTGTAAGCAGCAACATTTGCTTACAAAATTTGCTGATGCTTACAAAAGGTTTTTGTAAGCCTACATCTGAGAGGAGTTCATCATACTGTCCAATTTTGATGTCCCCCATATTCAAAATAATAGCAATAATAGGCCAAGATCCTAGAGAACATTGGGTCACAAAGACACCCCAAAGTCTTTATATTAGAGTATATTTAGTGAGTAATAAGATCTCAACAATTGTAGCTATTATTTTTATCATCATCATGATTATGAAGGAGACATTATCCTTCATGACCAAAGAGCCCATCAAGTATCTTTCGATCTCTTCAGGACCTCCAGCCAGCCTGTTTCAGCCACCTCGTCGTCCTGGCCTTGGAACTGTTGGAAAACCAATTCGACTGTTAGCCAATCATTTTCAGGTTCAGATTCCTAAAATAGATGTGTATCACTATGATGTGGATATTAAACCAGAAAAACGGCCCCGCAGAGTCAACAGGTAAGCATTAGAAAGAATAAACTCCTCTATATATTTAAATGCATGTAATTTAAAAAATTTGTATCATATTGTTCTCTAAAAATTCTTTCAACATGTAGGCTTTGTTTTTCTCTGAGATGTTAAATTTCTTGATAGTAAGTTTGCTGTCTCACTACTTGGTGGTCCTCCATAAATTCCAGCAGAGTGCTGGATACATCATTGTCCAGGCAGTAAATAAGAAAGGGCACTCTTTCATTGTTGAAGGGTAGCATATATTTACTGAAATACGTGAAGACATTCATGTCTATGGGAGATAGAATAATCTGGAAATTCAAACTTTATTAAGTGTTGGTATTGGATATAGAAAATTATAAGTGTAAAGACTTATAAAGAAGAATTATCTTGGAGTATTAGAAGAAGTAAGCTCAGAGGGAAGCTCTGTTTAATTCTAGCATTATCCAAGAGGGGTGTAGCTGAGATGATTTAAGCACTGTGGTCTGTAGGGCAGGAATTTAAGTGTGAAGACATAGTCCTGTGGCAGTGCACTGAGAACACCTGCTTTCCTTCTCTCTCTTTTCATTCTGTGACAGTCATGCAGTCCTTAACATTAAGATTTTTGCTTTTCTAAGAATGCTGTTGCTGTTTAGTGAAATATTTTCTGCTGCTTGATTTTTTTCTCATTATAGATCAATAATTTGGCTTTCTGTCTATCTTGTGCAAAACTGTCGTTGTTGGCTCTCGTATAACTGAGATCAATTGCAATAGAAGTGGTGTTGATGGCTAGCATTGATCCATTAAAGAAATATTTTTATTGAGTGCTTACTATGTGCCAGGTATTGTTCTATGCTGTGGGACTACAACATGAACAAAACGGGCAAAACTTTCTACCCCTGAGAGTTTATATTCTAATGGGAGAAAAGACCAAAAGTAAATGAATAAGTAAACAAAATATATTGTATATGAGTTGTTGATAAGTGCTGTGAAGAAAAATAGAGCAGGGTTGGAAGATAGGGGTGGGGTGAGGGTCAGCCACTGAGGTCTATATATATATATGGTGTATTATATGTATTTGTAGTGTTTTCATAGCATAATTAGGGAAGCTTTTACTGCAATGGCAGTTGAGGAGAAAGTAGAGGTGAAGGATTTCTGGGTGAAGAGAATGCCAGGCAGAGGCAGCAACTTGCATGACATATTCAGAGAATAGCAGATGGGCCTTATTGCTGGAGTAAGTGATGGACGATGAGGTTTAGGGAAATGGCAGAGGGACCTATCATGCAGTCTTGTAGGCAGTCATAAGACTTAAGCATTTACTATGATTAGACAGGTTTTGAGTAGATGTGTGATGTGACTAACTTAAATTTTTAATGGATCCCTCTGGCTGCTGTGTTGAAAATGAACCTTAGCAGGTAAGAACAAAAAACATGAAAATCAGTTGTAAGAGTGAAAAGTGTTGGTGGCTTGGACTTGGGTGATAAAAGTGATAGGAATAAGGTGAGTCAGATTCCACATTCTGAAGTTAGTGTCAATAAGATTTGCTGATGGATTGGACATGGGGTATGAGACAAAGAAATAAGTCTTGATTGATTCCAGGGTTTCTGTCCATTAATCAGGATGGAGAAAACTGTGGGAAAAGCCAACAGGGCCGGTGCATCAGGAGACCCATTTTGGACGTGTTGAGGTTGAGATGTCTATTAGACATCCTAGTGGAGATGTTGAGCAGGAAGTTGAATACATGAGGTAGGATTCAGAGGGGAGGTCCAGGCTGGAGACATACATTTGAGGATCATCAGTATACTGGTGGTAAAGCCATGAGACTGTGTGAGATCACATGGAAAGTGAGAGGGGAATGTTGTGAAAGCACTTTGGAATAAAACAAGACAGTATGTAGGGTAATTAATCACCAGTATTTGGCGAAGGAATTGAATTATTCCTTTGAGTATGATGCATCTTATATTTATTGAACCTCAGATTTCTGAATTTCTGCCCACTCTTTTCCAAAGCCAGTGTACTTAAATAAAGGTGTTAATTTGATAGCAAATGTATCATCCTTCAATTATGGATGTCCACGCCAAGTCTAGATACCTAACATAGGTTATCTTTATAAGGCTATGTTTATCATAGGAGGGGATTTTGAAAAGCAGGAGTTTGAATGAATGCCATGAATTTTATGCTCTCCCTTTATCCCCCTTTTGTTATCAGCTTATCGTTGCATTTGTTCACCTGTTACTACCTTTCTTTAGTTAACTTTTTTAAATTACTTGAAACAATTGTAACTTCAGCTATTAGATCTTAGTTTTTCCAAGTAGTTTTGAACTGAATTTAGAGATTGAGGTAGGGTAATCGTTTCCTTACAATTCACCATTTCTCGAAGCTAATTGCCACTATCTCCATTACTGTTAAGAGAGGTAGTAGATACAATGGTGCGGCACTTCAAGATGCAAATATTTGGTGATCGGCAGCCTGGCTATGACGGCAAAAGAAACATGTATACAGCACACCCACTGCCAATTGGACGGGATAGGGTAAGTATTAAGAGCAAGAAAGACATATTAGAGTTAGATTACTTAGTAGTAATTACACACAATAAAAATGTTTCCCTTTCTAATGACAATTCAGTTCTTAGAATTGTTTCTCATGGTGATGATAGATTTGTTATACTGTCCGTATTCTCATGTCCCTTAGTTAATTGATAATGGAAGATGAGCTGAGCATTTGAATTTAGGTTGATTATGTCATCTATACATATGCTCCAGATTTTTCACATTGTTCAAGTGCTACATGAACCTGAACAATGGTGTTTTTATAAATTATAGACCAGTATCTAACATCCACTTATGAAAGTATTCACAACACTACAACAACTTTTAAAAACATTTATTTTTAAAATTAGAAAAGCAGTATGTAAATATATACTCTCTATGAACTTACTCAGATAATCTAGAAATGCTGTGCTTTCCTGCCTCCCCGCCTGTCTGCACCCCTCAATCCCATTTTCCTTTTTAGAGGAAAAGACTGTAATAGTTTGGTTATATATCCTTTTCAGGCATTTTTATGATGTGCATTAGCTATTTATGCATATGTTTATATATATTCTTGTTTGCATATCATTTTATGATTTGTTTTTCATTTAACAAGATGTCCGAGAGATTTCTCCATTTCTGTACATTTAAATCTACCTCATTATTTTTTTTAATCAAAATCTTTTTATGTGGTAAAGTATACATAACATAAAATGTACTATTTTAACATTTTTAAGTGTACATTGCAATGGCATATATTCACGTTATTGTACAATCATGACCACTATCCATGTCCAGAACTTTTCATCATCCCAAACTGAAACTCTATACCTATTAACTCTTTATCCCCCCTCCCAAGCCCCCAAGCCAGTTCCTGGTTACCACTATTCTACTTTTTATCTTTATGAATTTGACTATCCTAGGTACCTCATGTAAGTGGAATCATACAATATTTGTCATTTTGTGACTGACTGAGTTCACTCAGCATAATGTTTTCAAGGTTCATCCATGTTATAGCATCTACCTTATTTGTAAAATATTGCCTAATATTCAATATTAAATTACACCCCTGTTGATGGACACTTAAGTTATTTGCAATGTTTGGCAATTATGGACAATGTTAAAATAAATATCCTTATATTGAATATTCCTGGGATCTTTCCTCCGCCTTTTTAAATATGTATGCATGTATATTTTTCTTTAGGTTGATATGGAAGTGACCCTTCCAGGTGAGGGTAAAGACCAAACCTTTAAAGTGTCTGTTCAGTGGGTATCAGTTGTGAGTCTTCAGTTGCTTTTAGAAGCTTTGGCAGGGCACTTGAATGAAGTTCCAGATGATTCAGTACAAGCACTTGATGTTATCACACGACACCTTCCCTCGATGAGGTTAGTACCTTAGTTTGATTTCTGTCCCACAAATGTCAGGCTTTTTTTATTTTGGCAGGTTGCATCGGAGCCATTGAAAGATTTCTGCCTAAGTCATAGTTCGAATTTGGCTTCAGTTTACAAAGAGTGAAATGAAAGACCTGTCAAGTCTATATTGTGAAACATGCAAACTCTTATTTCTTCAGGTATACACCTGTGGGCCGTTCCTTTTTCTCACCTCCTGAAGGTTACTACCACCCTCTGGGAGGGGGCAGAGAGGTCTGGTTTGGCTTTCATCAGTCCGTGAGACCTGCTGTGTGGAATATGATGCTCAACATTGATGGTAGGATGGAACTCTCTTTACCCTTTACTCTTTTGGCTGGTTTTGGGTTTTTTTGTTTTTGTTTTTTTGATCCTTTCCCTTTCCCTGAAGCTAAGTATTTTTCGTCTCTATGTGTTAGTGTCTGCAACTGCTTTCTACCGGGCTCAGCCTATCATTGAGTTCATGTGTGAAGTGTTAGACATACAGAACATCAATGAACAGACTAAACCTCTAACAGACTCCCAGCGTGTGAAATTTACCAAAGAAATCAGAGGTACGTATTTGCACTGCTGTAGTCTAGGAGATGCAACTCGGCATGGTGCAAGGAGCACCACCTCAGAGTCAGACAGCTGGGCTTCCTTCCCCACCAGCCAGTTCCATCAGTGGGACTATGAGCAAATTATTTACTTTACTTCTGTGAGACTTAGTTTATACATCTCTGAAGTAAAGATAATAATGTGTATCTTGTAAAGTTGTTGTGAGAATTAAATACAATTAGATCTATAAAGCTTCTAGCATAGTACCTGGCACATATTAGGCACTCAGTAACCATTACCCTTATCCACTTAAAGACTTCCATTTAAATAAAAGAACACAAGTTCATTTATTCTCCTCTTGGAATTTCTTTTTTTCTTTACTTGTATTAGCTGTCTTCTCTCACTAGAATATAAGCTCCATTAGGGCTGTCTCCAGACTTGATAATATGTTCCAAAACACAGTTGATGTTTAGTAGATATTTATTGAGTGAACTAATCAATTAAAGTAGGTTGCACATCTTAAGTCACTTAAGGTTCTAATTTTTTCTGCTTAGCTGAGACTTTTTACCTGTACATGATAAAATTATTCCCACATTCTTGCAACTTTTGTCCTGTGCAATGGCATGCCTTTCTGAAGGCAACATTCAAACCTGTTTTTGCCACTACGATTTTAATTAATACTGGTGTCTTAACTTTTGTTTAACTTCAGGTCTTAAAGTTGAGGTCACGCACTGTGGACAGATGAAACGAAAATATCGAGTTTGTAATGTGACTAGACGGCCGGCCAGTCATCAAACGTATGTTAACCGCATCTGAAATGATACCATTANATTTTTCCTTTCTCATTTCTGATTCTGTTGATGTGTGTTGATTCTCTTTTTCTCTTAATAAGTCTGGCTAGAGGCTTATCTATTTTGTTTATTTTCTCAAAGAACCAGCTCTTGGTTTCATTGATTTTTTCTTTTGTTTTATTCTTCTCAATTTTGTTTATTTCTTCTCTGATCTTTATTATGTCCCTCCTTCTGCTGACTTTAGGCCTCATTTGTTCTTCTTTTTCCAGTTTTGATAATTGTGACATTAGACTATTCATTTGGGTATGTTCTTCCTTCTTTGAATATGCCTGGATTGCTATATACTTTCCTCTTAAGACTGCTTTTGCTGCATCCCACAGAAGTTGGGGCTTTGTGTTGTTGTTGTCATTTATTTCCATATATTGCTGGATCTCCATTTTAATAGAATCTTTTGAGAAATTTGTGTCCTACATTATATTTTAAAAACAACTGAGATCTTCACTTTTAAGTACCAGAGCTTTTAAAAATACTTTAAATACTTTTGACAGAGGTATTTATAAAAATTATTTTTTGCCTTTGATTCATTTCACCTCTTCAACAGAGTATACTGAAACAGAGATCAGCTTTTATATAATGATGAAGAGTCATCATTATAAGCATCATTTATTATGCTATTATAATTCTCAGTGCATGGCTGGAAGGGTCTGTTAAAGCCTATTACTCATATAAGGCTGTCACAAGAAGATACTGATTTGTGTTTTGTTTGGATTTTTCTCCCTCCTTTTATAGCTAGCTGCCACTTCTTCCAGCTGCCAGTGTGTGTCACGTGCCTCCCACAGAGCACTCATTTCCACTTCCCCATTTCTACTTCTCATTTTTCTTATCACCCAACTTCTAATCCACTGTGAACTTTGCCTAATGAGAAAATGTATATGAAAGTGCTTTTTAAATTACTATATATTTTATTCTTGTATTCAAGATCTTGAAACTCATATCTGACACAAACAAATATGGACTCTTCTAAAAGCATGAACTTAATATATAAAGTGTTTTATTATTTTGATTAGAAGTCTTTGGTTTATTTGTTTGCTTTTGTTGTAATCTGACTTTGTTTTAGACTCATGGTTCTCAATTTTTAAACCTTAATGCACATCAGAAGCACCTGGAGGGCTTTGTTCTAAATAGTTGAAGTTTTTGGGTGACCTCTGGATGAATGTGGTTTATTAATTCAATCTGATTTGAATAAATTCTTCAGTATGACCTCATCTACACATTACATTACTTTCTTAAGAATTGTAAAGTGATATTCCATGTGTTCTTCATATTATACCATTTTGACTTCATTCTATAGGGAAAAAAATGTTACCAAAACCTTATGAAGTCCTTAATGAGAATTGTAGCATTTATTTTTCAAGAAGAACTGTGTCTTTTTTGTTACTTAATTACTTCACATAACCCTATAAAAATAATTATGCTTACAGACCTATATAATCTTTGCATGAAAATTAAAAGCACATAGATTTATTTATTATTATTAAAGTATCATTGATATACAATCTTTTTTTTACTTGATTTTTGTTTTATTGAACATGCACTTTCATTTTTTAATTTTATTTTTAATAAAAGGATTTATTGCCAATTTGAAAAGCAATTCCCAACAATTAAAGCAATATGTAGTTGTAGATTTATACCATAAATAAATGATAAGTCCTACAGCAAATGCATTCCGGACCACTCTCTATGGAAGGACTACCCAGTCTTTATTTCCTGGGCATACTTCATGCATAGCTCACCTCTTTATTTTTCATTGACCTGCCTGGCCATTTTCTCTGTCTCAGCCTGTGTTGGGGGCCATGGCACCGTATGATATACCAATGGCCAACAGAGGTAGCACTGTTGAATTCTTTTTCCAGCACCTCTGGGTGCAGGAAGGATGCAGCTTTTCCTAGCCAGTCCTGTCTGTATGCCATGGATGATTGTTATTAAGGCTTAACTCTAACTTAAAGTGTCCCACGTGTCAGTATGCAGTGTGTCTCACAGTCTATTAGATTAGATTAGGCCATAGTGAAATCGAAAACATAATGTAGAGGTCTGCACCTTCTTTTTTTTTTATTAAGGTATCACTGATATACACTCTTATGAAGGTTTCACAAGAAAAACAGTGTGGTTATTACATTCACCCTTATTATTGAGTCCCCCCCATACCCCATTGCAGTCACTGTCCATCAGTGTAGTAAGATGCCACAGAGTCCCTACTTGTCTTCTCTGAGCTACATTGTCTTCCCCGTGACCCCACACACACCTTGTGTACTAAACATAATGCCCCTCGATCCCTTCTCCCTCCTTCCACACTCGCCCTCCCACACCCCTCCCCTTTGGTAAGCACTAGTCCCTTCTTGGAGTTTGTGAGTCTGCTGCTGTTTTGTTCCTTCAGTTTTGCGTCATTGTTATGCTCCACAAATGAGGGAAATCATTTGGTACTTATCTTTCTCCTCCTGGCTTATTTCACTGAGCATAATATCCTCCAGCTCCATCCATGTTGTTGCAAATGGTAGGATTTGTTTCTTTCTTATGGCTGAATAGTATGCCATTGTGTAAATATACATCTTCTTTATCCATTCATCTACTGTTGGACACTTGGGTTGCTTCCATGATCTTGGCTATTATAAATAGTGCTGCAGTAAACATAGGGGTGCATATGTCTTTTTGAATCTGAGAAATTATATTCTTTGGGTAAATTCTTAGGAGTGGAATTCCCAGGCCAAATGATATTTCTATTTTTAGTTTTTTGAGAAACCTCCATATTGCTTTCCACAATGGTTGAACTAGCTTACATTCCCAACAGCAGTGTAGGAGGGTTCCCCTTTCTCCGCCAGCATTTGTTGTTCTTAGTCTTTTCAATGCTGGCCATCCTAACTGGTGTGAGGTGATATCTCATTGTGGTTTTATTTGCATTTCCCTGATAATTAGTGATGTGGAGCATCTTTTCATGCATCTGTTGGCCATCTGCATTTCTTCATTGGAGAATTGTCTGTTCATATCCTTTGCCCAGTTTTTAACTGGGTTATTTGCTTTTTGGGTGTTGAGGTGTCTGAGTTCTTTATATATTTTGGATGTTTACCCCTTGTCAGATATGTCATTTACAAATATATTCTCCTGTACTGTAGGATGCCTTTTTGTTCTGCTGATGGTGTCCTTTGCTGTACAGAAGCTTTTTAGTTTAATGTAGTCCCATGTGTTCATTTTTGCTTTTGTTTCCCTTGCTCGAGGAGATGCATTCAGAAAAAAGGTGCTCATATTTATATTCAGGAGATTTTTGCCTATGTTGTCTTCTAAGAGTTTTATGGTTTCATGACTTGCATTCAGGTCTTTGATCCATTTTGAGTTTATTTTTGTATAGGGATAGACAATAATCCAGTTTCATTCTCTTGCTTGTAGCTGTCCGGATTTGCCAACACCAGCTGTTGAAGAGGCTGTCATTTCCCCATTATATGTCCATGGCTCCTTTATCATTTATTAATTGACCATATATGCTTGGGTTTATATCTGGGCTCTCTAGTCTGTTCCATTGGTCTATGGGTCTGTTCTTGTGCCAGTACCAAATTGTTTTGATTACTGTGGCTTTGTAGTAGAGCTTGAACTCGGGGAGTGTAATCCTCCCTGCTTTATTCTTCCTTCTCAGGATTGCTTTGGCTCTTTGGGATCTTTTGTGGTTCCATATGAATTTTAGAACTATTTGCTCTAGTTCACTGAAGAATGCTGTTGGTTTTTTGATAGGGATTGCATTGAATCTGTAGATTGCTTTAAGCAGGATGGCCATTTTGACAATATTAATTCTGCCTATCCAGGAGCATGGGATGAATTTCCATTTATTAGTGTCCTCTTTATTTTATCTCATGAGTGTCTTATAGTTTTCAGAGTACAGGCCTTTCACTTCCTTGGTTAGGTTTATTCCTAGGTATTTTATTCTTTTTGATGCAGTTGTGAATGGAATTGTTTTCCTGATTTCTCTTTCTGCTAGTTCATCGTTAGTGTATAGGAATGCAACAGATTTCTGTGTATTAATTTTGTATCCTGCTATTTTGCTGAATTCAGATATTAGTTCTTGTAGTTTTAGAGTGGATTCTGTAGGGTTTTTTGTGTACGATATCATGTCTTCTGCAAACAGTGACAGTTTAACTTCTTCCTTGCCAATCTGTATATCTTTTATTTCTTTGTGTTGTCTGATTGCCGTGGCTAGTGATATACAATCTTATGATGGTTTCACATATGCAACACAGTGGATCAACAATTACCCATATTATTAAGTCTTCACCTTCTCCATTCTGGTCACTGTCTCTCTATGTAGAAAGATGTTATAGAGCTCATTAATTGTATTCTCCATGCTATGCTAATGTCTCCATGAACTACCTATATTGTGATTGTGAATTGTAGTGCCTCTTAATCTCCTTCTCCCTCCCCAAACACCCTCCCTAACCTCTCCCCTTTGATAACCACAAGTCCCTTTTCTGTGTCTATGGGTCTACTGCTATTTTGTTCCTTCTGGTTTTGCTTTGTTTTTATACTCCACAAATGAGTGAAATCACTGGTATTTGTCTTTCTCCACCTGGCTTATTTCACTGAGCATAATACCCTCTAGATCCATCCATGTTGTTGCAGTGGCAGGATTCTTATTATTGTGCCAGATGTTTGAGATAATTTGCCCACTGGAAGAGCCAAAAAAAGAAATCATGCCCCTCCAGTTCATACCACATATCCTGGCACAGTCTCAGTTTCATGTATATGGTCTTGTTGCCTCTAAATCTACATGTATTTATCCTGGTTTGAGAATCTGAAAATGTGGCCCCAATAGCTGTGTTACACTCATTTTACAAAAGTTCTCTTAGGCAAATAAAACTCCTGTGTGGATGACCCTGGCTCCTTGTTTGGATTTAATTATCTATAAGAAGCCAACAGGAGAATGTATTTGTATCTGTGGGTGTTAACTAGCCTCCACTGAGTCTATGTATCTGTATCAGTATTTGTATCTGTAGGTGTTAACTAGCTTCTAGTGAGTCTATGTCTTGTCTGGCTCTGCAGCTTCTTCTTGTTTTAAATTCTTAATTAAATTTTAATTTAATATTAAATTAAAGCTTCTTCTTGTTTTAAATTCTTAATTAAATTTTAATATAATGTTTTCTTGTCCAGCTTCAGTAAACTTGGAAAATGCCAACAGAAATTGTTATCTGATTAAACACTAAAATGACTTGAGTGAAAATGGTCAAATAAACATTGACCTATGTTTTTCTTTTTTTCACCCCCCACCCTCTGACCTATGTTTTCAAGTGACTGATTAAGGTAGAAAATGTTAGTAGGCATTTGTTTATTTGCTTGCTAAATTGAAAAAACTTGAAGAAATGTCTAAAAAGGCATTCTCTCCCATAGTTTTCCTTTACAGCTAGAAAATGGTCAAGCCATGGAATGTACAGTAGCTCAATATTTTAAGCAAAAGTATAGTCTACAGCTGAAATACCCCCATCTTCCCTGTCTCCAGGTGGGACAAGAACAAAAACATACATACCTGCCACTTGAGGTAAGCTAAACTCAATTTTGTTTTGCCAAATCTACTGATCTCTTGAATGAATTTAGGAAGAAAAGAACTGAGGGGTCTAAGCTAGTAGTAGAATTTAGTATTAATTTCTAAGATATTTTGGGCATATAACTTCACTATATAAAGGAATTTTCTTTATTATTTTTTTTAAATGGAAGATGTAAGATACAGTCTGGCAAAGGCTTAAGATACAGAAACCCATCACACGAACTGATTTCTGTTTGCCTCTTGGAAGGTCTGTAACATAGTGGCAGGACAGCGGTGCATAAAGAAGCTCACAGACAATCAGACTTCCACGATGATCAAAGCCACTGCAAGATCCGCTCCTGACAGACAGGAAGAAATCAGTAGACTGGTCAGTAAAGCATGGTCTTTAAGATAAGCTAGCTTTAAGATGAAAAAACCAAATAACAGAAAACTCTTGATGGGACACAGTTATTCTGGTTTTCATATATGTAGGCTTTCCTGTTCTTTAGGTGAAGAGTAACAGCATGGTGGGTGGACCTGATCCATATCTTAAAGAATTTGGTATTGTTGTCCACAACGAAATGACAGAGCTCACAGGGCGGGTACTTCCAGCACCAATGCTGCAGTACGGAGGCCGGGTAAGCCCTGCGTTTTGTTCAGCAAGCTTATTCCAACGACCAATCAGACAGAGACTAATCCAGGGTTTTCCACTACACCACACCGAACTGGCCCATAGTTTTGCTCATTACTGCTCTTTGTCTTAGCTAATACCAAGTAGAGTTTTGTTTAATCCCCTCATCAATATTAAAATGGCCTTAGATTGTAATGTCTTTTCTCTTTTCTTTTGTTTCTTTTCTTTCTTTCTTTCTTTTTTTTTTTTTAAAGAATAAAACAGTAGCCACACCCAACCAGGGTGTCTGGGACATGCGAGGAAAGCAGTTTTATGCTGGCATTGAAATTAAAGTTTGGGCAGTTGCTTGTTTTGCGCCTCAGAAACAATGTAGGGAAGATTTACTAAAGTGAGTATCTTCATATTTTCAGCTTAGTAATATCCCTTCCAGATATGAAAATACCATCCTTATGTGAATGTGCGGTATGCACAGGCACTAAATCCCAGATTCCTAGAGTGGCACCATCTGGCTATAGGAAAAAGACTTTGTATTACAGTAAATTGCAAACTTGGGAATTACATTAAGAATCTGACTCAGCTTCCTTACATTTAGAGCAGAAATCTGTGACTAACAAGGCTGAAGCAGCGCTGGTTGGCAAATGCTTGAGTTCTCAGTGAAGCTTCTTTTGGTATTAATTGTATCTTTCCAGCTAAGATAAAAGCTAGTTCATTTTTAATTATTATAATTTACTAGTGAGCTTGTTTTACTGCAGGGTCACTGACTGAGATCATTGGTTCATGCCTTACAGGTGCAGCTATCTATACAAAGGAAGTTAGTGAGAAGGGTGGGAAAAATAAGCAGGAAAAGAGAACTGGGGTGAAAGAAAGGAATCCTACAAAATATTGGCAAATGCACAAAAGAAATTATTCTGAATGCTTCCCACGTAGATTAAAGTAACTTCTCAAATCTAAAATTTTAAACTTCACAATGAATTTTGCCTTATTTTAAAGTGATAATTTCTTTTGACATTGCTATTGAATTGAGTCTGTTAGAAGTTTAAATGTAATCCTAAATACACTTATTTTGCGTTTTCAAGTTCTCAGTTGAAAACAAGCTTACCCAACTATTCTTGTGTCAGGCCTACAAAAATACCTGAAGTTTTGACTTTGCTTTTCTTCAGTCTGGAACTACTGACTTGACTGTTTAAAAAACTATTTGAACAGGAATGTTATTCTGTTCCCTGGGGCCCAGCAGAGGCATAATTATTTAAAAATTCAAAATGGGCATCTGATGGCTTGATAACATAGATTCTTGGGCATTATAATTCAGTGATACCATTGCAGTCGATTTTTGGCAATTAAAGATTTTTTATTGTTTATTTGTTTTGTTTCTAATTTGGGCTAGGAATTTGCATAACTGAAAGAAGTGACTTAGAGGGAAATAAACGCTAAGAATATACTCTGAAATGAAAGCATTGTGCCACTGGTTCTATTTCTACAGGAGTTTCACTGACCAGCTCCGTAAAATCTCTAAGGATGCAGGAATGCCCATCCAAGGTCAACCATGTTTCTGCAAGTATGCCCAAGGTGCAGACAGCGTGGAGCCCATGTTTAAACATCTGAAAATGACATACGTGGGCCTACAGTTAATAGTGGTTATCTTGCCTGGGAAGACACCAGTATATGGTATGGGCCCCTTTAATGTTGAATGAGGGATGATTTCAAGGAGTAGGTGTAACAGTCGAGATAAGCAAGATTATGCTGTAGGCACAAACAACCCCAGCATCTCAGTGGCTCAGAGCAACAAAGGTTTATTTTTTGCTCCTGCTGTATGTCCATTGAAGGTAGACTGAGGCCTCTGCTCCATGTCATCCTATTATTTTCACTCTGGGATGCAGATTGGCAGAGCAGTCTCTATTTGAAATGTTGCTAGCTCCATAGCATAGAGAAAAGAAAGCTCTGAAAAATTCTTAACATCGCAACACCAGCTGCCACAGCCAGCCACATGGCCTTTCCCAACTTCTGTGAGGGGAGTGGGAATGAGGGCTGGGGCATACAGTGCAATTTTACCATAGTCCCCAAAACAGGAAGAACTGGAGTGTTTCCTGAAAAGCACTTAGGAATATGAGAGTAGGGAAGAGTGAAGGAGGCTACCACTTCCAGAAAAGGAGGTGTTTAGTTTGTAACTATTATAAGAACCATGATACAAAGTTTGTTTGGCTATCACTTAAGTAAGGGATTTGGGAACTACAGACCAGCTGCATGTCTTCAACCTTCTCTATATTTGTATCTTTTGTTACCTTCTGTTTCTCTCTAGTGTTTAGAGAAGAAAAAGGGAAGACAAAAACTGAAAATTCAATGGGTTGACAAGTCTGCTGAGAGGGAGCAGCTGGGGAGACTGATTCTTTTGCCAGCCCAGTCCTGTGGGAAAAGTAGCCTCAAGGGACTGAATGAGTGGAGGCAGGCAGCATTTCCGAATAAAGGAAGTGAGGGAGCTTCAAGGCCTGCAGGAGGGAAGAAAAGGGGAGGGAGAGGGCCTATCCAAACTGAAAAAGAAGTTGCCCTGGGGATTTTGCAGGTGAAAGGACTACAAATGAAAAACATCTAGCATAGTGTACAGTGCATAGTAGGCACTCTGAAATGCTAATGTGTGGAGTTTTTTCCTCTACTCATAGTAATTAGGAGAATATTTAAATAATTCAAAAATAATTAATTAACTTATTTTTGTAGCGGAGGTGAAACGTGTTGGAGATACCCTCCTGGGTATGGCCACACAGTGTGTCCAGGTAAAAAATGTTGTGAAGACCTCACCCCAAACCCTTTCCAACCTTTGCCTGAAGATAAATGCAAAGCTTGGAGGAATTAACAATGTGCTTGTACCTCATCAAAGGTAAGATTCTGAACTCTGTTTTTCCCACTTTTTTATTAAGCTCTAATGTAACTTACAGTAAAGCATACAAATCTCAAATATGTGTTTTGATTACTTTTTCTTATATATGTATACACTCATGTAACCACCCCCCAGGTTAAGATACAGAGCATTTCCAGCACTTCACCAGGCTTCCTTGTGGCCCCTCCTAATAGATAACCCCCCAAGGTAACCACTATTCTGGCTTCTATCACCATATATTAGTTTTGCCTGTTTTTGAGCTTCATATAAATGGAACCACACAGTGCATAATATATTGTGTCTGTCTTCTTTTGGTCTGTATTCTGAATCTGAGATTCATTCAAGTTACTGTATTAAGTAGTTTATTCTTTTTCATTGTTGCATACTATTTCATTATATGAATATACCACAAACATTTAATCTATTCTACCATTGATGGAGATTCTTATATATTCATTATACAGTTCTTCTACATTTTTAGAGGACTTAGTATGCTTTCTCTTGTGTATATATCCAAAAGTGAAATTGCTAAATTAGAGTATACATATATTTAGCATTGATAGGTGCTGCTAAATTGTTTTCCAAAGTGGTTGTACCCATTTACAATTTCCACTGAGTGTTCTAGTTGCTCCATATTCTCCTTAACACTTGATAGTATAGGTCCTTTTAATTTTAGCCATTTTAAATCTCATTACAATTTTAATTTGTTTTCCCCTGGTGACTAATCACGGTGAGCACATGTTCGTATGTTTACTGGTATTTAGACATACTCTTTTGGGATGAGTGTGTTCAGTTCCTTGCCCATTTCTTAGATTGGGTTGTTAATCTTTACATTAATTTGTAGTTTCCTTATCTGTTGAGATAATATCTGACTTGTTAACTCTAAAATGTTTTTAAGTGCAATTCTGTATGTGAAAGTAATTTGAAAAGTTAAATTTAGGATTATGGTATTAGTCATTGCTGTACTTGAGAAGAATGTGAAATGAGTGTCTTATTCTTGTACAATCATGTCACAATTCTCACTTTTATCTTTAACTAAAACTTGTAGGTAACAAAATCCTTCCTGTAGATGAGGTATACTGGCCATGGGGAAGTTAACCTAAAGTGTGAAGTCATTTAATTTTAGCCAAAAATTTGAGAAAATAGCATAGTGGCTTAGAGTGCATACTTTGGTGTCAGACTTCCTGGGTTTGGATTCTAGCTTTACCACTTCCTAGCTGTGTGATCCTGGGCAAGTTTCCTTATCCTCTTGTGGCTATTTTTTAAGTCTGGAAAATTGAAATAATATCTGTTCCACCTGCACAGAACTGTTGTGAGGGCTAAATGAAGTAATACACATAAAGTGCTTAGCTCAGTGGCTGCTACATCAAGTATGTAAGCTGTTGTTATGTTATGTATGTATATGTTATAGATATTCCATCACTGCCCTACTGCTCTGTGCCAGGCCCATGTTGTGTGATGATACCTATAGAGAAATACAAGAGCCTCTGTCCTCATAGAAGTATCTATTCCTTAGTACTTATTACATCTTTAGTACCTGTTACATGAGATTTTCAGATTTGGGATGCCTCCTATATTATACTTTAAGTATAAATACTGAGGCCCAAATCCTACCTTTGAGAATTTATGAGGGAAGCCTGCGTGATACTTTTCTCCTTCATTCCTTAGATGAATCAGTGCCAAATAAATGAATTCATTCTTTCAACAAATATTTATTGCATGCCAGCTGTGAGCTAGGTGGTGTCCTAGGCATTAGGGATACAGCAGTGAACAAAACAAAACAAAATTCCTGCCCTCATGAAGTTTATGTTCTACTGTGTGTAGACAATAAACAAAATGATTAAGCAAAATAAGTAAAATACGTAGTATAAGCGATAAGTACTATGGATAAAAGCAAAATAGGGAAGGAGATATATTTGGCTCTCTCCCCTGAGTCTCACATCTTCAGGAGAATTTGGGGTTTTTGTCCCAATTCCATGCACATTCTACAATTCTGTATCCATTGTAGAAATCCCAGGATCCCAAGCAAGCCTGTTCTGGGAACATTTTCCCTTTACATGTAGAGTTTGTTAAATTTGGGCGAGTCTTCCTCTATTTTAGTTCTTCCCATCCTACTATTGTAGAAAAACCATGTTGACTTCTTCAGTTCAGATTCATTGTACTGGGTGACACAGGTACTCACTGGGTCTTAGAGTTCTCTGCTAATTGGCACAAATCCTTATTTCTCTTTTAAGATTATAGCTGCAATTGTTATCAGTTGAGCTTGCTGAACACAAACATTTTCATCTGTATGTTTGAGTGTCAATGTCTCCTTAAATCTGAGCAGGCCCTCGGTGTTCCAGCAGCCCGTCATCTTCTTGGGAGCAGATGTCACGCACCCTCCTGCAGGGGATGGGAAGAAGCCTTCCATTGCCGCTGTTGTGGGCAGTATGGATGGTCACCCTAGCCGGTACTGTGCCACTGTTCGGGTGCAGACCTCCCGCCAGGAGATCTCCCAGGAGCTCCTCTATAGTCAGGAGGTAATCCAGGACCTTACCAACATGGTTCGAGAGCTGCTGATCCAGTTCTACAAATCCACACGCTTCAAACCCACTCGGATCATCTATTACCGTGGAGGGGTATCCGAGGGACAAATGAAACAGGTGCTCTCATTATCCTGCAGTTGCCCTTTGGAGCTTGTAGGTGTCTGAGGGAGCTTCCTCCCATCTGCCACTCTAGGGAAATCAGATCTGAAAGATACCAGGCAAGTTCTCAATTAAACATCATTCCATTTCTAAATCCTAGGTAGCTTGGCCAGAGCTAATAGCAATTCGAAAGGCATGTATTAGTTTGGAAGAAGATTACCGGCCAGGAATAACTTACATTGTGGTGCAGAAAAGACATCATACACGACTCTTCTGTGCAGATAAAACAGAGAGGGTAAGAAAATAATAGGATAAGCTTCATTATCTGCAAGTGAATGTGTTTTGTGTGAGTATATATACATATGATTTTTTTCCCTGAAAGCAGAAGTAGCTAATAATAATTTAATAAATATACTAACTCCAGTTGAGCTTAGATGATCAATTTTGGATGATACAGGTTTCAAGACTGCATATTTCTCTTGTCTGAAAAAAATGGCTGGTTTCTAGGGCTTTTGCGGAGGAGGTCAAAAACATGCCAGTTGCTCCTTGGTGATACAGGCAACTTCCAAAGGGAAGGTTTATCTACTTGGACTTTATTGCCATTTGCTACTTCTTGTTCCCAGTGCCTAAAGCATGGTTCTAGTGCATAAAGAAGAGTTTCTCTTCCAAATGATTTTTTACATCAGTGCAGGCTGTTCTTAGGGAACATACTTTGAAAGTTTATGATGTCACACTTACTATTGGCAAGTTACTTAACTTCTCTAAGCCATAATGCTCTGAACTGTAAGATGTAAATATAAAATACCTATCTCCCAGGGTTGTAAAGATTAAATTAATAAATGAATGTTGATCTTGGGGTACAATTCCCAGAACTTGATAAAAATCATTTGGTATAATCTATAATCTGTTATCTATGTGTAAAACTAGGTAAATTATAGGTACATAATATTGGGTGACTTTGCTTCTGTGATATTTCCTAGGACATGACTTCATCTTTTCCAGGCCCTCCCTGGTGTACCCTTAGGGAGACCGGTTCTTTCTGTTGCCTAATCTTGTAATCTTGTAGGTCACTCCCAATATTTTCTAGCACACCCTTAGTTTTTGTCTCTAATCCAAGGCTGAGCTGGTTATTTTTGTTTTCTGGATCATTGGAAAGCTAAGGTTTTGTCATTGGGCTCCAGGTCCAACCAACCAGCTCAGATTCAAAGTGCTGTCTTCTAAGCTGCCCAAACTCTAACTTAGTAGTACTTCTTAGATTCTGCTAATACAAATTCTCTGAAATTTTGCCCAGGCTCTGGTCAGAAAATATCCTGCCAACTCCTCCTTAACTGCATTGTCACCTCTCCATCCCTCTGTCAATTTGCTATCCATGTAGCTTTAGGACCTGGATTATCTTTCTGAAACCACAAACTATCTCATTGTTTGGTTCTTTACTATCCAGTGTCACTCCTGACCTTTTAAGATTGACAGCCCCAGTCCTTGGTCTACTTTGTATCCCTGACACTGACCAATTTAGAGAATCTATAATCCTCTAAGCATGCCTTTTACCAATCTCCAACTCTGGATCAGTCCACTTGCCCATTTCTTTTGCTTTTCCTCTCAGACTGGTAGCAATTACTGAGGAAAAAAAGCCACTTATCTAATAATGGAATATAACACACTCATAAAAATAAATATAAGCCAGGCCTTTGATGGTGCTGCAGTTTTTTTTAATTAATCCTGTCTCCCATAGCATCTGTTCCAAACCTCTATACTCTTCTCAGCTCCCCAACAATCCATGATGCTTTCATTGCCAGCAAGTTATACTGCCAACAATAGAACAACCCTCTATTTCCCCCCAGAAAACATGAATTTTTTCAACTTCTTCTCCTTCCTTTCAAATTTAGTTTAGTCTTGTGTTTTCTTATCTCCTTTGCATCTCAGAGGCTAATCTCTCCACCTGTGCTCTCTTTTTCTCCACTTATGCTTTTGTTCTAATCATTTCTGCCTTCTCTAGAGTCTCCCTGCATCAATTAGCCATTGTTTCTCAAAATTTCCATTTTTCCCATTCTATTGCTGCCTCCTCCTCACCCTTAAAAGTTTCTCATCTCTTTCTCAGTCGTCCTGATAAACGTACCTTCACTTTGCTTCCTCAGTCCAGCCACCTTATCTTTCCTTCATTTCATGACCAAACTTTTAGAAGAAAAGTGACTTTCTGTCTGTACTTTGTCAGTTCCCTGGAGCCTAACTTCAGTTCCAGTGATGGGGCAGAAGTTGTTCTCTCAGTGACTTGCTCATGTCTGATTGAGCAATACCTTGTCAGGTTCCCCGACTGGCCTCTTTGCAGCACTTATAGCTACCACCTCCTCTGGCCTTAGCAATGTGACTTTCCAGGATTACTATCCTCTATAATCAGGCTTTCTTTGGCTCATCTCAATTTCAACTCTATTGCATCTTGCCCACTATTCTGGATTTACTTATTTACTTAGGTGTTCCTAAATAGGTATGTGCAGCCACAGATGTTTCTGTGCAGTTCCTGATCTGTACTTTCAGTTGCAGACGTATTTACTAGATGCTCTGTAGCCCTTTTACCAATCAAGATAGGCTAGGCCGTGCTGTGGTAACAGAAAACCCCAAAGTCTTAGTGGCTTGTAAAGATTTATTTCTTGCTCACATTACACATTCAGTGTAGCCATGCTGCAGCTGTGACCCTGCTGTTCTCCCTTTGGAACCTAGGCTGACAGAGAAGCCTCTAACTGGAGCATCGCCAGTCACTGTAGTAAAGGGGGAAAAAACACAACAGGCCGTATGCTGGCTCTTAAAGCTTCTGCCCAGAAGTAACACATTTCAGGCCGCATTTTATTAGTCCAAGCAGATCACATGGCCACTCCTGAGTTAATTGGGTGGGGATGTATAATCCTCCCCCAGGGAGTGGCAGGGGAGCATTTGGCACCAGCAGTAGAATCTACCACAGGCATTTCAAGCAAAACACGTCTAAACCTTCTACTTATTGTTTTATCCTCATCCAAAGCCTAGTCCTCCCCCTATTTTCCTTTTCATCTGTTATTTGGCACCACTGTATGTTAAATCAGCCAAAGTAGAAACTCAGAGTTGGCTTTTTATTCTCCTTCTTTGCTGTCCCACCATATCCAGTTGGTCAAATAGTCCTCTGCATTCTGCCCTGGAATCTCATCTCCATTCTTCCTCTTGTGTATTCCCTCTGCCTTAGGCAGAACTCTTCTGCATTGCAGGAGGCTCCTAGCAGTCCCCTGCCTCCATCCTTCCTTCACAGATGTATCCTCCACCTGCTATGAGGGCTAGGTTTTTAAAATACAAATCTGATCTTACCTCTCCAGTGCTCAAAAATTTTCCTGTAGCCCCCCTTGGCTATTACGTGCTGTCCTATGGTGTTCAGTGTTTTCCCAAGGTAGCCAAAACACATATTAATTTCATCTTTCCACTATGCCCTTACACTTCTGTTTCCCATATACTTTGGGTGTTTTTAGCCCTAGAATTACCACATCCATCCCACTCCCTTTTTTTCATTGTTTTTATTAAGGTATAATATAGATACAGGGAAATTCAGCCTTTTTAGTGTACTGTTCTGCATGTTTTTGACAAATGCATATAGTGCTGTCACAACCATCTCAATAAAGACATGGAATGCTTCCATCACACACACAAATTCTTTCATGCCCTTCTGTAGTCAACCCTTTCCCTCACCTGCAGCCCCTGACAACTATCGATACGTAGTCTATCCTTATAGTTTTGTTTTTTTCCACGATGTCATGTAAGCGGAATTTCATAGCCTTTGGCCTGGCTTCTCTTACTTAGTATAATACATTTGAGATGCATCCAAGTTATTGTGTCTGTCAGTAGTTTGTTTCTTTAAAGTGCTGAGGAGCATTTCATAATATTGATGAGCCACAGTTTGTTTATCCATTCCTGACTTTAGGGGATATTTAGAATGTTTCTCATTTTCATTCCCCCCCAACCCTTTTCAACTCCTACTTATTCTTAAGACATGGCTCGGCTAAGTCCTCCCACTAGCTTTTCCTGGTGCCTCCATAATGCCCTTATCACATTGCTTTGCAGTTCATCATCTGTAGTGTTCGTGAAGGGCAGGAGGACAGTTTCTCTGCTGCAGAGCCTTGCGCTTTGGCGCTCAAGCAATAATTGTTGAATTGAACATGCCTACATCCCCTTCTTCCATGCCATCACCTATTTAGGTTCTCATCTTTAGATTCCAACTGATTTTTTAAAGGTATTCCCCTCCCCCAGGAAGCTTATTCAACATAAATGTCTTCCTTTTCTCCCACCTCTGTGAACATGCCAATGCGTCGCATGTAAATAGCTGGCGATAATGCAGCCCAAAGCCACAGGGAAAATCATTCTTTGTCTGGACTTCCCTAGAGAAACCGCAGAGTATATCTGTTTGAGAAAAGACTTGAAGATGAAATAGTTGGGCTCCAAGAAAGTTATAGAAAATTCAACATCTTGAACTAAACAGGTTTTCAAGACTTCCTTAAGAGCAGTTTACTAACTTGTTACCAATTAACACATAAAAGGAAAAAAAATGACCTGAGCTCATTTTGGTACTTTGATGACTAATTATACCTTTCTTGTTGTTGTTAGGTGGGGAAAAGTGGCAATGTGCCTGCAGGCACTACAGTGGATAGCACCATCACACATCCATCTGAGTTTGATTTCTACCTCTGTAGTCATGCAGGAATTCAGGTAATTTGGAAGCTGGTCCAGATCTTTGATTTGATAGGGAGATGTTTACAAATTCAGCAGCTAGCTTGAATAGAGTTGTTATTAAATACTGTGCATAACTTTGTTAATGCTCATATCCCAGAACTGTTATCTTTCGGTCTAGGCATCTGCATGGAGCTATGCTAGGCAGGAATACTTCTGAATTTAAGGAGTAGGTTTCATTTCTTCTCTCTTAGCTCATGTCAGAAATGTATTAATCATAAAATTGTCTCTCCAGGGAACCAGCCGTCCTTCACATTACCAGGTCTTGTGGGATGACAACTGCTTCACTGCAGATGAGCTCCAGCTACTCACTTACCAGCTATGTCACACCTATGTGCGGTGCACACGCTCGGTCTCTATTCCGGCCCCTGCATATTATGCCCGGCTTGTAGCATTCAGGGCAAGGTATCATCTGGTGGATAAAGATCATGACAGGCAAGTTTCTCAGGCAAAATAAAACCTCTTTCTGTCTATGCTAACAGCATATTAAAAGAAAAAAAAAAGCTACTACAAAATCTTTCTGAAAGAGTTAAACTTCCTTTTAGGTTTTACATTTCAAGGAGTGAGTAAAATTGCATGTGCCTTTGAGAGCTTATAATGTAACTTTAGGTCCAAGAAGTGCTCAGGCTTGTTCCTACTTGTATGATGTCTAAGGTCTGCCCAGGGAAAGGAGGCTCACCTGGAGCTGCCTTTGGTTTTCCAGGAGAGCCAAATGCATTACAGTTATGCCCAGGTCCTGAGCAGCCTCAAAAGGTGGTCTGCACAGTGCCCTGGCTCCGATCAGAACAGTCCCAGGCCCGTGGCTTCCACTTCATTCAAGGGGAGTCCTGACCAGTTCCCTTTGCTTTCAGTAAAATCTGGAAGATGTACCAGAGGTTGCTTGGGTGTGTGGGGATGTGGAGAGGAGGGGTGCCACCATTCTCACCCGCAAATAGGCATCTCAAAAGAATCAGATGTTTTGGCCTGTTACTGAGCTAACCAAGTTAAATAGCTAAACAAGCTCTCTGCGTTCATTTTCTTTTCCAAATGACCATCTGTGAAGTGTAGCAGTTTCTGGGCTCTTCCCCAACTCTGAATTCAGCCGCTGAATAGTAGACATTCCATTGCAAGTCTATTTCTGTAAGGGTTGAAAATACACTATTATGGAAAATGCCCAGCTGTGGCTTTGTACCTTCCATTCTGTAAATGTATATTATTGATTCATTCATTCATTTAACACATTTATTAGGTATTGACTGTGTGCCTAGCACTGTGCTAGGTACATTGGAAAGGAAGACAAATGTTTCCTGGGATTTTGTTTCAGTATGGGAGATAATACAGGCACCCAGAGCAGACAGTTAACCACAAGCAGTATAGGTGAGAGTGCAATGGGACATCAGAGGAAAAGCTGTTAGAGAAGATTTCATAACTGGATGGGTAAGATTTGGCTCTACAAAGAAGAGGAAAGGATTTTCCAGGCAGAGGAACAATGGGCACAAAGAAGAGAAAGCAAGTGACATGTTTGGACAATAGCAAGTTCTTTTTGGCTGGAGCATATTAAAGGGGAACGGTAGGCATGAAGCTGGAAAAGTATGTTAGAGCAAGATTGTCTTTGTTAAATGTAAAAAGCTATTCCTGGGATAAAATAGGCAGTACCTAACAGTTAATTGGATGTGATGGGAGAGAAGAGGATAGAGTAAAAGATAACCAAGACTTTGATCCTGGATGATAAGGGTAATAATAATTAAGGTGGGGAAGTCAGAGAGGGATAGTGATTTACAGTTTACCAAGCCTTTTATGTCACACAGTACCCTTAAGAGGTATGTTCAGAAGTTGTTAACTGTTCTCCTAAAAGACCAAAGTTCAGAGGAGTTATTCCCTATCAAGTCCCCATGGCTAGTGAGGGGAAGACAAGCAAAAACTGATGACATAGTGACATTTTCTGAGTGGCAAGTATGTTCCAGCACTGTGCTAGGCACATCCATTTAGTCATTCAACAAATGGTTATGGAGGCTTTACTATGTCTCAGGCCCTAGGTAGTCAGTGATGAGTAAGACAAAGCTGCTGCTTTCTTGGAGTTTATATCCCAGTGGGAAAACAAATAATTGTCTAATTAATCATTTAATTTCCACTGTGTTTAGTACCATGAAAGAAATGTAGAGTGTTCTGTAAAAGTATGTTCAGCCAGCTCCAACCTGAACTTTATAGTCTGGGAAGATTTCCTTGGGGGAAATGACATTTGACTGAAGCCTAAAGGACAAGTGGGCATTAAGCAGGCACAATGGGCAGTGGAAGTCCTAATGGAAGCACTGTTAAGGATTTGGGTCTTTCTGGACATTATTCTATTTAATTACTGCAACAGCCCATTAAATAAGTTGTGTTGCATTTTTCAGTTGAGCAAACTGGTGTTTAGAGACAAGACAAATTATTTGAAGAGCCACTGGTTCAGTGTAAGATCTTCGTGAATCCAGTACTATTTGTGCCATTTGAAACATGTGAAGTTTGAAGTTATCTTTTGTTACACCAGGTGTTCTGCTTTATTCTCTTCACAGTGCGGAAGGCAGTCATGTGTCAGGACAGAGCAATGGTCGGGATCCTCAGGCCTTGGCTAAGGCTGTGCAGATCCACCATGATACCCAGCACACAATGTATTTTGCCTGAGAGTCTCAGAAAAAGAACTCAACCAATTTGGCACCCTCATGCAGCCTCCAATGTTTCAAATGCTTACTGCCTCTACAGAGCCACGTTGACTTCAGATGGTCTTCTACCAGCAGCTCGGAATAGTTGCACTGAATCTATACTTCGCAGCACTGTCTGATGCATCAACAAAATTGAGCCATTTTTTAAAAGTAATAGATACTCATAGATTGTCTTTTCTGATGCACTGGACTGAATTTTTACCTCATCATGCAAAGGCTGATCAGCCTGAACTTTCTAAAGGACTTTACCAGAAAGGTTTCTATGGAATATTTTGCTAGCTGTGGTGTTCACCGCATCCCTCTAGTCTTACAAGAGAAGATTATTCCTTTTTTCTGTATTCATCAAATGGGGTGTATGCATAAATAAGTGGGAGAGAAAAACCAAACAATCTACTTCAGTTCAGCATAATTATTTAATTGTGTGGGTCCATGGACTTTTTAATGGCCACTGCAAATGCCTTGAATGAGCATTAATTTTTAAAAGTTTTACAGAGTTTTATTAGTTTTACTACTTTATCTTATTGGTCTCTACAGACTTGTGCTGGTGCAAGTATAGGCTGCCAGGCAATTGCACTATATTTGGCTGCAGATTCAAACAGGCAGTTCTCTTATTTGGTTGACATTTGTGAATGTGTAACACAGAGGGAATACACATCACGGTGACAGATAACACTGCCATGGTAAAAGTACTCATGTTTCCCCTTTTGGAAAAAAAGTTAGCTTTTAGTGTTTTTCAAAGTTTTCAAAAGTGCCCATTTTATGCTGCTGTGTGGTTTGTTAGATCTAAATGATTTTTAAACTTTTCTCATAGAAAGTTAACTTTGGCAATAAACATTTTTTAAGGTCCCTCCTTTCCTCCCCCTAACAGTATAGTTTTCTAGATGAGATTTCGGTATGATTTTATCAGCTATTTCTTATAGACCATGATCTGGCAATTTCTGAAACTGGTCAGAAAAAACATATATTTCCATGCCTTTTTAAATAATAATTTTTATCAGTTTTATAGTCACAGTTGGTGTCCTGTTACTTTGTTTTAAAATAAGCTAGAACCAGGATGCTTACTTATTGGATGGGCTTTGCCAATCCTTAAGGTACATTTTTGAGTGATGCTGTAAGCTGCAAAAATGTGCCAGTATTTCAAACTTTCTTCCTGGGAAACAAGGTCACTCGCACAGTTACTTGCAGTGCAAATTTTTGCTTCTCTTTCAACCTGAAGCATACGTGGTGGGGTTTCCTTCCTTTTATTAAACTAAAACTGCATAGGAAAAGTTATTTCTTAATAGATTCTGGATTCCACTCACAAGGAGACGGGTTCCTTTCTTGTCCAAACAAAGGGAGCTGATGTAAAGCAAGCATCAGTGAAAATGTAGGGGAAAATGTGTTTTGTATTTAGTGTAGATAACACTTTGTGAATGGACAACAGTTACATAGAGTCTTGGTAGTTCCAGCCAGTGTTTCCCCACCCAGATTTTACTGACTCCTAATTCTATATCCTGGAACCTCAAGAGTGAAAGCTGGAAAAGGGGATAAAAGCCTGGAGCCACACTCCATATGGCTGAGGAAGGTGCTGGGGAAGAAACAGATGTAGTAAAACTACTTGCCACCTCTGTTTGGAAACTGCTGGTGGGGAAACACTGTATGTGATGGTGAAGGGTGTTTGCTTGAACTCATTAGGTACAAATCTCTTAAACTAGCCTTCTCAAAATCCCAGCAATATAAAGCACTGTTTTTCTTCAGTCTTTTACACAAGCTTGTAAATACATTGAAGTTTACATTTCCTTGTGCTGTTGATCAGCGGCGCCACCAGTGTTTGCTGAGACTGGTCTTTGAGAGTTTTATAATGTATATTAAGTTCTACTGCTCGACAAGATGAGCACAGACGTCCTTATTCTCTGCATAAAGTGGGATGCTAGCAGGCTCTATCATTGAGGCACAACACAGGCAGGAACAAAGAGATGGCAGACGTTAATTTCTTAAAATTTCCCTTTTTTGCATATACCTCACTTGGCTACTACAAATCAGGACATGTTGGTGAGGGACTGGCTGCTGCTTTTATTCACACTTGTTCAGGGAGAGCACAGAAAATACCCTTCAGCATGGCCACCCTGGACCCAAGAGGAGGAAAAACAGCTTTTTTAGGAGAAGGAGGACTCACTAGAGTCCAGGATGGGAAGAACTCTTGGTGGCTGGCTGGCCGGCCAGCGGGTGCCACATCTGCACTTGAGTGCCTGGGCCTGCTTATTAATAACGCACAGAAACAGAGTCACTTCTCACCATCTCCTGGCATGTATGGATCAGGGAGCAAGGTGGAGTGCCAGGAAGCCCTGATAACTTGCCTGCAGTTGGGCTCTCTGCTCAGTCTTCAACTATACAGTTCGTACAACCTCAGTCAGTCCTCGTACACTGGGGCAAACCAGTGTGGTGGTGGAGGAAAAGCCGGGAGGCCTATTTTTATAGGAAAACAGTACCTTGAAGGGTGCAATGCTGTCGTTTTGGATGAAAGGAAATAAATATGGAAGAAGTAGGATTGTTGGGAAAAACTTGCTGAGGGGTGTAATCACTGCAGAATCAGAGTTGCAGCAATATCATTGCAAGCAAGTCTGAATGCATAGTTTTATTAATTTGGCTTGGCAATTTGTGTAACCCCTCCAGACTGACTGAACTGTTATGCATGTGTCAATCAATGGGAGGTGTGCATTCTCTAGAAGTAGATTTAGGCTGTTTGGTTTTTTAAAATGCAGCCTGTTTAGGCACTGTCATGTGGTGTGAAAGATTTCAGTGTAGCAATGCTAAAGAGTTATGGTTTGAGGATAAGGTGCAGGGACATTAAGAGAGTGGTGAAGATACAAATGTTGAAAAAATTATGTTTTGTTGTTGTTAGCTTGAACCTTGAGCAGTTTTATAAAGTGAACTAGATGGCTTAATGTAGCCAGCATTCTGGGCAAACAGAATATAAACTCATTCTTACTGTAAATTCTATTTGCTGCTTCCAAAGGTGATAATTTACAAGCAGACATGTTCTATATGGTCTGTATTTTAGGATCTGGTGCCCAGCCTATATCAAAGCTTACCTACCTGGCTCAGCTACCTACCCTTCCTATGGGAAAAGACAATTCATTGTTGAGGAAGGCTTACCCTCTCTGACCTGCCCTAGCGACCCTTTGTGGATGTGCTATAAGATTTTCCTGCTCAATAGCAAAGTGGTAGCTCTGCTTTCATTTTAAGAAAGTGGAGGCTGAGGGCATTGAATCAATACTGCTTCAACTCCAAAGATTTTTCCTTGTAAAATTAAAGGGAAGATCTTGTTATTAATGAACCATTTTCTTATCCCTTGCTATTGACATATTCATGCTCTTTATATGTCTAGTGGCTGAAAATGTTTGCATTTGTTCATTTGACTAATGGTGTAATTTTTGTTTTTATATTGTTAGACCTGTAATGTTTTAAAATGTATTTTATTAAATTTGAACTGGATGTATGTCTCTAGCAATACGAGGTACTTTCTAAACTATTATTAAGGGAGGGGCAGTGTCCTCATGTGGAGATAAGATGAAGGTTGTTTAAAGTTGGCATTTTTTTTTTTTTGGCCTGCAGGGATATTCTGTGTTCACGTGTCCAAAAAGGAATAAATTGGCATTCTTGTGCCACAAGTTGTTTTTCTTGTCAATTGTCTAATAAATATGGAGTATACTGTAATGGTAACACACATGGTTCTTTTTTAAAAAAAGTTTCCTCAGTTCAAGAAATAACAGAGGGAAAACATTGTGTTTTTAACGCCTGAGTCTCCCTATCCTTTGAGATTGTTGTTTGGGAATTTTGGAAGAGCTTTGCAGCAACATTTCACATATGAAAACTTTTACAAGATTCATCAGGGTTCTGGGTACAGCTCTTAATGGTGTGTTCTATTTAAGTAATGTTCTGAGAAAAACCTTCTGTCTCCAGAGGGCAGTATGACCACATGCTTTCAGACTGACTTCTCCAGGGGATGAGCTGCCCAAATTCACCGATCTGGAGCTATCCAATCTCCTATCTTCAAAAAAATACTCACCAGCAAGGTTCTTTTGTTAAGTCATGGCAGAGATAATGCAAAGACTTGCATAATATGGCCCTTATCCTTAGGGATTTTATAGTTTACCAGACGAGCAAGTCCTGCATACAACTAACTTTACTACAGATGATGCTTTTTTCCATCAGCATGATACCTTCCTCTTCATATTTATCCATTATCAAACATCGTAAACCCAGTATGTGCCAGACTCTGTTGAGGTGCTGGCAGGGAACACTGAGCAATAAAACTAAATTCTTCAAAGACTTCATTCTAATATGGCATGAGGTGGGGAGGAGGAGGCAGCGAGATTAACATGATCTGAATGGCTCATATATGCCAGTCACTTTATATTGACATCTTAATCTCAGCAACAATCCTTTGTGCTTGATAGTGGTGTTCTCATTTTAAAGATGAGTCAACTCCAAAAAGGTTAATAACACACACAATTACTGAGTGGCAAAGCTAGAATTTGAATCCCGATCTGTCTAACTTCCTTATACCTGCTGTTGAGCATGAAATTACAGGAATTTAGAAGGGGAACCAACAACTTTTGCCATAGGAATCAGGAAAGACTCTACAGTGGTGGTGAATTTGGGGATCATGAAGAGTGAGCAGGAGTTTGCTGAGGGGACTGTAGACACACTGTTCCCTTACAGATTACAGTAGCTATAATTTTTGTGTATCCAAATGCTTTCTCTTACTCTTTCTTGGATTATGGAATCTCTCTTTCTTATAAGAATCCCATTATTTTGTGTTTCAGGTGAGTCCAGATGACCTTCCTCCACCACCATGTGTATCATGTTCATGTCCACCCTTGAGTCAGATACTGGGGCATGTGTTAGACCAACCAGGAATGACTTGTGTGTCCACTCCTGTGTATGGGAGTGGCCAGCAAGTAGGGGACACACAGACCAATCAGCACCATTACAAGGCATGTGCCTCTTCTCTCCTTTTCTCCATCTCTTGGCTCTGATTTTCTCTATGTTAACTTTATTCTCCAGAAGCTAGTGGCAAATCTTTAAGAAGAGGAACAAAATCATATGGGAAAGTAGCAACTATATTAAAAGTAACTGGAGGAGGAAAGAAGTAATTTCAGTTTAACAAACATTTCTGGAGCTCCTACTATGTATTAGAAAATACAAAGATGAAAGATACAAGTTTTGGCCATTCAAAGGTTCCTTTGTAAACTTGGCAACTACATGTGTAACAAGGTAGCTTTAAGGGTTAAGGAAAATGAGAAATGTATATACAGAACTGTTGAATCACTTAGAACCTGGGGATCAAAGAAAGCTTCTTAGGGGAAGTGAAACCTAGCTGTCTCATAAAGAATAAGAAAGAGTTTTTTATAAATGAACAAGATGGAAGAAGGCATTCCAGGAATTGTCATGGGCAAAGGCACAGAGGGTAAAAAAAACTTGTTTGGATGAATTACAAATAACTTTAGTAATTTTAAATTATATGGGGCAAGGGAGGAAGTGGAGGTGATAAAATTGGACACAGAGCAAGCACCAGTTCTTGATGGGACAGGAACTTGAATGGCATTCTAAGGAGTTTCAAGTTTATCGATGGGCACAGAGGAATAGTGGAGTCTGATTTGTGATTATTCTGGCAGTAGCATTGTGGGTGGGTTGAAGCTGATGTTCTGCTGAAAGGAAGTTAAAGGGAACCTTTCCTAGCCTCAGTTTTCTCATCTGTAAAGTAGAGACAGTAATAGCACTTACATCCTGGGTTTGTGAGTATTAAATGAGATAATATATGTAACGCCTTTGAAGCCCTTAGATGTAAACTACAAAGAAGAAGGAAGTAGTCAACTACCCAATATTGGTATAGCAAGACAAACTCTGCAAAGTGCTCATTAGAATTCCCAGCAAGGAGGTCATAGGTGACCCTGGTGGAGCAATGCTCGATGTTGGAGGAAGCAAAAGCCTATTGAGATCTGAAGAATCTATAGAACATGCCTTTTAGTTGGCAGATTGGTATAAAGGGAAAGAATGAATTCTAACACTGGCTGGAATGTGAAGCAGATTCATTTTTCAGATTGGGAGAAGTCTGAACACATTTACACACTAGGAAGGAGCCAGTAGAAGGGAAAATTGGCAATATTGGAAAGAGAAAAGATGCATGATGGAGGGAGAATGAGAAGGAAGTTGGTGGGATTGAGATCCAATGTACAAGTGGAAAAACCTGGGAGAGGGTGGAAGTGGGAGAAGGCTATACTGTATAGCCTTTTGTAACTTTTTGAAGTATGACATCTATTAAAATACACAGACCTTAAGTGTATACCTCAAATTTTCATGAAGCAAACACATTAATGTACCCCACCCAGAGATCTAAAAACAAGCATACCCGTACCTCAGCAGCTCCTCAGGACCTGTTCCTCGTCACTACATGCATCCATTCTTCCCAAAGATAACCATTATCATGATCTGGGTTAGTTTTGCTTATTTTGGGAATTTATATAAATGGAATCATGCAGAATGTATCCTTTTGTTTCTGCCTTATTTTGCTTAATTTTATGTTTGTGATATTTGTTCATGTTGCACATAACAGAAATATGTTCATTTTTGTTGCTATCTAGTACTCCACTGTATAGATATACCACTATTCATTAACCAAGGTTTGGAAATTTGGATTGCTTCCACTTTTTGGCTATTGTGAATAATGTTGCCATGAATGCAGATATACAAGTATCTCTTTGAGCTCCTGATTTCAGTTCTTTTGGGTATATACCCAGAAGTGGAATTGCTGGATAATATAATAATTCCATGTTTAATTTTTTTGAAGAACTACCTACTGTTTTCCACAATGGCTGTACCATTTTACATTCCCACCAGCAGTGCACAGGGGTTTCAATTTCTCCACTCACTGGGATGCTTGTTCTTTTCTTTCTTTCTTTTTTGTAATAATAGTCATCTTAATGTATTTGAAGTGGTATCTCATTGCAGTTTTACTTGTAGTTTCCTAATGATTAGTGATTCTGAGCATCTTCTCATGTGCTTATTGGTCATTTGTATCTTCTTCAGAAAAATGTCTATTCTAGTCCTTTGCCCCTTGTTGAATCAGGTCCTTGAATTTTTGAAGAATGATTTTGACATTTAATATATTTTTGTGGGTTTTTTCTTTGAGCTCTGAAAATGTTGTTTCATCGTCTTTGAGCTTCCATTGTTCTGTTGGGATTCAGTTTTGAAGCTGTGATAGTATTTAAGGGTCAACTTGACTGGACAAAGGGATGCCCAGATAACTGGTAAAACATTATTTCTGTGTGTGTCTTTAGGGTGTTTCTGGAAAAGATTAACTTCTAAATCAGTAGACTGAGAGACTGAGTAAAGAGACCTGCTCTACCATTGTGGGAGTGCATCATCCAATCCACTGAGGGCCTAAATAGAACAAATTTCTTTCTTCTTGAACTGGACATCCTTTGGACATCAGAGCTCCTGATTCTCAGGCCTTTGAACTCAGACTGGTTCTCCAGCTTGTAAATGGCAGATTGTGGGACTTTTTGGCCTCCATAACTGCATAAGCCCAATTCCTTAAAGAAACTTCCCATTGGTTCTGTTTCTCTGGAGAACCCTAATACAGAAGGTAATTGCCCTTTTTCCTCTAGCTGCTTTAGTATCTTCTCTTTGGTTTTGATTTTCAACACTTTTACCATATTAGGCCCAGGTATCTTTGTATTTCTCCTGCTTAGGACTTTGTCTTATTCATCTCTGTGAAACCAGCATATGGTGTCTGGCATATAGTAGGTGCTCTTTAATGTATGTTAAACAAATGATATCCATACACTCTCATAGATATTTAAAGAAGCAATGCTTGAACTCCCCTCCATCCTGAACTTTGCTCTCCCAGTGATCCTGTCTCATCTAATTGGAACTTGTTTCAGTGATCTCTTTCCCTGACCCTGCTCCTGACCCCTGGATGTGGCTGGCATTTGGACTTGGCTTCTCTCATGTTTAATTCTGCCTTCTCCAGCTGCCTTCCCTTGGTGGCCTTCAGAGTCTTGGTGTCTCAAGTGACATTAATCCTCCATCTCCAACTCCATGTGTGCGTATGGGGGCGCAATTCAGACAGTAGGCATAATGGAGAGTTTTCAAATTCTTATTTAAAAAGTTACCAACTCTATGGAAATCTATTTTACATTTTAAAATAAAAATTATTTTTGATTTATATTTTCAACACACACATTTTTATACAGTTATAATCTTAATGCAGATAGGGGGCTGTATTGTTGTTTCATTAGCTATTACATAATGAGCAATTATCTTTTCTCAAGACTGAAGTCAAATAAGCATTTATTGGATACCCACTGACCGTCTGACGTGGTGTCAGGCATTGGGGCTACCAAGATAAATAAAGTGTGGTTTTGCTTCATGCTTCTGAGACTTTTACATTAGAGGGCGGAGGGGGAGGAGGAAAGGGAAGCTATATTGACAAAGGAGAGCAGCTAAGTGTTACCACAGGCACCACAGGAAATGCAAGCAGGGACACACGGGAGGGAATGTCAGAAGTTGTCATGAAGGCAGGAAGCCTTGAGCTGAATTTTGAAATACAAAAGTGAGTTTCACCAGTCAGAAGGAGGAGATGTTCAGGTTTGTGGGGGTTAATAGATCATATCCTGTTCTCTACACCAGCTCAGAACCAACTGAAAAAT